GAAGGGAAGGGAAGGGAAGGGAAGGGAAGGGAAGGGAAGGGAAGGGAAGGGAAGCCACTTTAGGGCATCATAAGCAGGACAGTAATCAGACTCTAAAATGGCTGGGACTATAAGAAGAAACTAAATAGTGGTAAGGAGGAAAACTAAAACTGGATTTTGCAAAGAAGAAAATGTAGAGAAAGGGAATAAATACAGGGGAGTCCAGAAGTCTATCACAGAAAAAAACAGTATGAGGGATTTGTGCATGGTGTAGAGGAGTGAGCAGAGCAATGAACAAAGTGTTGTCCATGGAATGATCTCTGTTTGCACTGCTAGTCCAGGTTAACAGAATTAACCGAGTTAAATTTAGAATGCTTGGGTTTGCACTTCATTCATTTTAACTTCATCTGTGAAAGAGAAATGTCAATAAAATTTCAAAAGCAACAGATTTCCCTTCCTTGAATTTTGGACACCCACTGTTAAAAGAGAATTGAGGGAGATTGGAAGGGGGGTTGGAAACACATGTCCTTGAGAGGATATCTCATTCCATCCCAAACCAGCTGTCTAGAAAAGGTGCTACAGTAGGTCTATGGAGCAAGACTTGATCTAGCTGAAAAAGATGTTACAATTTAAAAAAGCATCTCTACCCCAGTTACAGAAGAGGTTCTTAGAAAGCCATCTTGGACTGGAGGTAAAGCTGGAGGTATCTATTCCATCTCACATTTCCTGTTTCTGTGGAATCCTAGTAGTATTTCAGTATTCAACCCTTTTAGACTCATTTGAAAATCTCAGGTTGAGTGTGCTTCAGTTTCACTCTAGTCTTTTCAAAGTCTCTAATAGATCTAAAAGCAAATTCGTCATGATTCTCAATAGAATTTGTGTTCTGAAAGCCTGTAACTTGTTTCGTCTTTTGTTGCTTTTTAACATGGGCTGTGTTTTGATGTGAAGATGTAGGAATTGTTTTGCTGTTGAATAACAACTTTTCTCTTGCAGCACGAGCTGTAAAACATGAACACCTTGTTGGATCACACTCTGAAATCTGAAATGGGCATCCTGCCAAGGCTCAGGGCTTCCTTTTTGTTTTGACTGTTGCAATGTTCTTGTTTCTGTTAGTATCACGTTCCTACCACTTGTGCTTTTCAGACACCTACGGCCAAACTCAGTGTAACTCCACTGAGCCCACTGAAGCTGCAACAGACGTGAATTTGTCTCAGTATGTCTGTAAATTAACCAGTCATTTAAGCTGGAGAGTGACATTGATAAGCAATAACAGCAGAGAAGTGGTGAAAGGAAGATATCTCCTAGTTAGTTTTGGACAGTTGACACTAACTCTGTTGTCAGATAAGTCTTACTGACTGTGGGAAAAGCTGAGTGGGAAAAGTCACACTCGCCGCCTGCTAACTGTAGGAGGAAAACAGATCTGGAATGCAGAGGAAATCTTGACATTATCTGTTCCCCCAACCCCTACCAGCCAGGCAATCAAAATAACTAGCTGAGTATCAGCTGCCTCTGTTCCTGCCCCAAATAAAGGTGCTTTCTTGACAGAGCTTTTGCTCACAGGAGAGCAGGCAAAGAGAAGAAGTCTGAAGTGGGTGTGGGGGAGTGCTTCCTGCCAGAACCCAGGAGCAGCTTCTCTGTAACATCCAAAAGAATACTGATGACATAAACCTAGTGCTGTAAACAGAGGTGGCTCTGCCATTTCCAAAGGACAGCAATTCAGCCTGACAGCCCTGCAGCCCAGAACTCCTGTACTCCATCGCTCACTTGGCTTCCATTGACATTGCCAAGGACACTGTGCCAGGCTCTGCTACAAGAAGGATCAAACCCAAGGGAACAAAACCACTGGAAAGAACTCCTCTCTTCTCATCCAAATTTTGTTGTTTAAGAATAAAGTGTAGCTGTTTCAAATGAACACTTGCAGAGTAAATTTATTTCCTTTTGAGCCCTCACAAGACACAAGGTTTATCAATACTCAAGGAAGCACTGTATACTATACTTACATATATGTATCATATATACATCAGAGCAAATTAGAGACACTCTCACATATTTCTGTGTACACTCACCTAGGTGTAGCTTAATACTCTGGATGTCATCCCTATAAGGTTGTTGTTATAAAAAATAAGAAATATGGGGTCATAGAAGAGGATCATGGCAACAAGAACAACAAATGAAAAGGTGCACTTTAAACTATGCTACTGAATATATTGTGTTCTCCAATACATCATCCAGCCATGGAGTGTAATGCATCCTTTCTGTCTGCCTTATAAATAGGTAGAAATATAAACCAGAAGTTTATTTTAACTTTGGAAACTCATCTTACTTTTTTCTTACCACATGAGAGTCCAGAGAGCTGTAAATTAAAGATTTTGACTGTGTGTTGGTCAGCAGACAAGAAAAGTGTGTGAAAGTAATGGTTAACTTTATGTGCTATATATTTATCAAATAAACAGATCTCAATATCAGTACTCTGCTAGTGATGACAAAGAGTGATTACAAAGTACCTGTGGCCTTATACCTGCTTTGCCAACTCAAAAAGCCTGGAAATCAAGACTTGTGGCTTTTCTTGATGGAGTCCTGGCAGGGACAGTAAAGCATTTACTTCTGGGAAAGTAAATGCTTAATTCTGGGGAAGGCTGGAAAAAGACCAGTTGGTTGGGGGATGTTATAATTACTTCTCTCCATATTCCTTCTTTACTGCTTTGGGAAGCAAGCACAGAACAAATGATTCTCTGAATCTCTCCCTCCTATTTTGTACCCTAGACTCTTCTATTTTTCTTTGACAGAAGTGAATTACCAACTTCCCATAGACACCAATTCTCTGATTTTTCTGCACTAAGAAGCCTTGAGCTGTAGCTGGCTGAGCCAATGCTGACCCCTCAGGTATTTTTGGGCATGCATGAGCAGGTATGGAAGCTCTCCATACAGCCACAGTGCTACTGCAAGCCCTTCCTGGAGCCAAGCTTAGCATGAATCAATGGCACAGCAAAGAGCACCTGGCAGGATGGGGACTGTAACCTGGACACCAACCAGCATGGACCAACATGCATGAAAATAAGCCCCTGAGAAATTATTTGAATGCTTAATTAGAAACAAATATAAATGTTTTCAGTCACCTTTTTGCATGAAAACTATCCATGATAATGTAAGGCTATAAGGTTTGTGAGGGAAGGATTTTGTTCTGCCTGTACAGTGCTCACAAGGACACTACTCTGGGCCTGAGGCCAATTGTCACTACCTCAGTTAAAAAAATTTTAAAATTACCTTATTAGTAATCCAAGTAAGCAGCATTTTTAAGAGTTTCCTGAAAGAACTAGATACATTTTATGAAATATAATATTTCCCATTATATATATATATGAGTCTCCCATTTCCTCAGCTACTTGATTCTGAAATCTGTGAAAAGTAGAGGCTATTATTTTTCTTTACAGATACAAATAATTTTCTCTACAGCTAAAAAAGCATCATTAAGAGACTAAGTATAATACCAAAAAGTTACTGGTGACTGCAACTGGCAGAGAGTTTCACCCTACAAAGAAAAATCCCTAATTTTCTATAGGATATACCTGCAAGATTCTGTGCTAGAATCAGTTTACTTCTCAGAGTTAAATCATAGAAACCTTATATAACAGTGTCTTTGGAAACCAAGAAATATTCCAGGGTAGGTATATATCCAAGATAAATAAATATAAAATAAAAACCTACAGCCATTTCCTTCCCAAACTCTATGTCAAAAGCCTACACTTTATGAAGGCTGGAATAGCAGATTGAGATCCACTTAATAATGCCCACTTGAAAAGCAACCTTTTAGCCATCTGTTTTCTTGAAATTGCCTTTCCAATTGCTCTGCCTTCATAAAGACACAGAGCCAAGATCACAACTGACAGATGCCATTGTATGCAATGGAATGATATATAGGATGGCTTTGGTATGTCTTTTGTATTCATATGCAGCCCCAGTCTCCTCCTCTGGCTGCATTTCAGTGGTGCCTTGACAGCATGGTGGAATTTACTAATTTGTTTATGCCTTGTGCTGAGCACTCAATAAATACCAGCATCTATATGTGCATTTCTGTCATAGCAACTTGCTGGCCTGGGTGGAATCTAATACAGAGAACAGGAAGGGCAGAGACTGGATGGTTTTCAGCTGAGAAGCCTTCTAAAAAGGCTCCTGTTTCTGAGTAGTTGACACCATCACTACATAGCTCTTTGTCCTCCTCTAGTGGTCCCATTACATTTAGGGAGAGGCTTATGCAGTGATTACTTCCTTCTAATTAATGCAGTCATTACCCCGTTACAAGCTGCTGAGGCTCATGCCTGGAGGTCCTGTGCTCGGTTCTGGCATGAGCCACAGTTCCATGGTGCTCATGGAAGTGAAGGAGGTGCCTCTGCTCACAGCCAGTGACAGCTGCGCAGACACTGTAGCTCACAGGAGAGGAGGTGTCCTTGTGTCCGTGTGTCCTTGAGCCATGGCCACCACCTCTGAGCACAGCCTGCACCACGGCACGTTGTTCAATAGCAGGGAACAGTGGCATGGTCTGACTGCAACCCCACAAAAGGTCATATGTTGCAAAAGTCCAGAAGCTAACTGCTTTGTTTGATTTCTTTATTGTCCCAAATACTCTGCAGTATGTTCTAGCCAGAAGCTTTTCTCTGTGTTTTCCTGCCTGACTTGCAAACAAAGAATCAGTGCTAAATCCATCTTCTGTGCTGAGCTATTCAGAGAGATGATGCATGTCACTCTGATGCAGCACAAAACCTTAAACATTAATCCTTAGGAACTGATACTAAAGAGTTAAATAACAAAAACTGAACCTAAAGAATTATTGCAATGGAGATGTTTTCTAATGGGAAACACTAAAACTGTTGGAACTGCTACCCATTAGAAATGCTTTCTGTGAAGACAAAAGGTTCCCACCATATAGATTATTCTTTCTTTGTGTGTGTCTCAGAGCTTTAATGCTTAGTTAGCACAATAAAAAGCTAAATGTTTATTTTGCTGCTTGTATACTTTAACATTGGCTAAAAATTGTCTAACCTTCAAACTTTTGCAGTTATGTCTTGCACAGGAAATAAAACACAAGGACATAGCTTGCATTGTGGCTAGCAGAGAGGTCTGAGGGAAAGGTCTAATTGAAACAGAAAACAAATATACTTTTAAATTATTATTATTCAGTGAAAATTTTCCAGGCATTTCTTGATTTTGGAATAAATGTTAAATGGCAAAATGTGGTTTCTGCCACGACTCTTGGAAGCCCCCAGTTTAAAATAAGTTGGCTGCTCAGGAGCAAAGGAGCTGAATATGGTTGTCTGTCCGCAACCTTTGTCAGGCAATTGTTCAGCCAAAGAAAAATATGACTCAAGAATCCTGTGTCTCCATGAACTTAGTTGCTGGAAATCAACACCACCTAATTCCAACAGAGGCAAAACTTTAGAGCAATTTATCAATCTGAGTTAGATCACCTTTTACAGCAAGGTTCCTGTCACATCTCGAGTTGTTACAAACCCAAGCTCCTCTACCAGCTGCTTAGTGTTCAGCTCTCCTCAGGAGTCCAAGCTGTAACCAAACTGACTTAGGAAAAGTATTTATAATATACTCATTCTGAAACGACCTATATTTTGTACAATTATAAACTAGATATTATTTTTAATATTTATCATCTCTATTTTCAGTATTTTTTTATCTTATTTAAAATGTTGACTAAAAATCAAAGTCACAGGAAGAACCATGGAGCAGAGAAAAAGGAAAAGATATTTAGAATGACATTGAGTAGTTGCATGGGTATAAATTGTTTTTATACATTGCTGCTTTATTGCTTTAGAAATGTCTTATATAAAATTCAGAGTACTTCTTAATGAATCAAGCTTTTGTGTATAATTCACATACTAGAAAAGTAAACATATAAATTTCTAATCTATACCTGGCTGTTTTGTGCAGTTCTTTTTGAGAAACAGCAATACCTCATTTTCCTCTTGCTTTTGAGAGCAGAAGATCCCAGTGCCCTCAACTACCCCAATACATCAGTAAGAGCTGACTAACAAAGATTTGCCTTTTTAGAAGAACAAAGAAGGGCTTTGTTCTATAATTTCTGATTATGAAATGGAAGAGGCAATCTCACTGCCTAATTTTGGAAGCCAAACTGGCACTGCAGAAAAGTTAGAACTGGAGCCAAATGAAATGACCCTCTGATGCACTGTCTGCAGGACAAGCACCAACTCTACCTGCTTCTAATTTGAGCAACACAGAGCATAACTAGTTAAGAGGCCAAGGTCACCAAACAGCTGGGTTTATTCAGTAGTTTACTTTCACTCTTTAGGAAAACAGCCTGTTCATTTCTCAGTCCAAAGCCAGCGCCTCCACTTTGTGCTGGAAACATGTCAAAGTGACCCTGCTCTGCTTTCTAGTAAGTGCACGGGATCATTGGATAAGGATGTTTTATTTTCTCCAGTTATTTAAGGTCAGGTTTTCATCTTGGATAAACTTTTATAGCTGGAGTAATGACAGAATGAGACACAAGTACTGCCTAGGTCTTGCAAGGCACTGCTGAATGTCTAATCCAGCTGCTGCTCCCCCCTGAAGAGGATGAGAAGAGGGGTTTCACAATCACAGCCTCAGCTCCACCACCAGCACACTTGCCAGGCATCCATGGCAAGTGAAAAGCTTAAAGAGATCACCTCCATCCCCCCCAAGCAAGAGGAAAATCCCAGAATAGGATACGGTTCTATGAGCCACATCCATTTCCCTGTTCGGAGTGTGATTAGCCCATAATTCCTGCCCAGGGACTGCAGCAAAGGTAAAATAAAACCATGAGCATAAAACCTTTTATTACTAAGGAAACATAAAAAATATGTAATCAGTTGAAAGTACTGTACTCAGGTTTGATTTTGCGATGAATCAAGCACCTTCAGTTTC